ACCTCGTTTGCCTTCAATCTTTCCCTGGAGGATGAAATGGAGTATGCCACATTTTTCTGGGTGTCGCGTCACATGTCCGAAATAGTCTAATTTTCATTTTTTTAATTGTTTTTATGATTTCCCTTGGCTTTCCCAGGCGGCTTATCACTTCCTCATTTCTGATCTTGTCAACCCAGCTTATATGTAACAGCTGCCTGTAAATCCACATTTCAAATGCTTCTAGTCTCTTCAGGTGGCCTTCTGTCAGAGACCCACTCTCTACTCCATAGAGCAGGATAGAAAAAATATAGCCTCTGACAAGCCTGATTTTCAGTCTTAGGTTTATGGCGTGACTGCAGAAGACCTTTTTCATTTTGAAGAATGCTGTTCGAGCTTTCTCTATCCTTGTCTTTACTTCAACGGTCATGTCCCAGCTTTCATGCAAATTGGAACCGAGGTGTGTGATCCTTTCAACATTATTTATTTATGGGTGTCTCTATGCAGAGGCATCCTAACTAATTAAAAAAAAATGGCCGTACTTATTCCATAGTCCCAAATCTCCACACTAGAGCACTCCATCTTCTCATGTGATGTTAAAGGCCAGCTTTCCCCCCCCCCCTGTGTTCTTGCTTTGCATCCATCCTCTGTCCAATCACTGCAGGAAAGTATTTCATACAGCATTCTGATTTAGGGGGTTTCTCCCCCTACCCGTATGGAGGGGATTTTTTCCGATGACGCAATTTCAAGGCAAATGAAGGACCGGCTTGTCCCAAAGGATGCCGTTTCCTTACCTACAGGAAACTCTGAAGCAACCAGGTGGCATCTAGCCAACACAAACCTGTCTGTCTGAACACAGCACAACACAAACATTACATTCTGACACTCATCTGCCTCCAGGAAGTATCTTTCAAGCCTGGCGCCTTTCACACGGGTTTGACGGACATAAAAATCGTGGTTGGAAGTGCAAAATAGAAAGAGATATTGATGGGGTGGGGGAGGGAAAGGGGGGGGAACCTTGTCCTGAAAACTTGAAATATAAATCTATATAGAGGTACTTAAAAAGGTAGGCTGGTTGCCAAAAGACTCACATCTACAGGTCCTTCTGAGATCACTATTCAGGGAAAATAATTTAGAACAGGAGCTCACCTTCCAATATGCTGCTGTGCACTAGTGGCTCACGACAAAGGTCAGGGAGAAACTTATCAGAAACAGACAGGCCCAGCTGCAAAACTGTAAACAGAAGCCCATGAGGCTGCCTGACTAACCACATCCAAGGGAAAGCAAGACCTCCAGAAGAAAAGTTTGAAAACCTCTTGGCAGCCTGAAAATCCTCAGGAATGAACTTGTTTTGGTCACAAGAGTTGAACTGTGACGCAGATAACCAGGCTCAACCTTCAGTATTTCAGCTGGAATATAGATTCTACATGGGATACTCTAACCAGGCATTCTTCAGATGTGTTGGGGAACTACAATTCTCTGACCTCCTAGCCATCCAGCATGGCTGAGGGCTGCATTCCCCACACATCTTGACCTCCAGCCTGGAACTTCTAGGATAGGGGTGTCAAACTGCCGGCTCGTGAGCCAGATGCATCATGCGGAAACTGCGCCCACCCCAGCTCTGGCAAGGGGAAAAAAGTCACGATACATCACAACACGTCAGGTGACATGACGAGTTTGACACCCCTGCTCTAGGAGAAGGAGGCTGACAAGTCTTGCAGCATGAGTCTAAAGCAGTTCCAGTCCACCCAAGCTGATTTGCTGAGGTGAAACACGTGGCTTTTGGCTTCAGAAAAGAACCATGTTATCTTCATGGCCTGAACTGCTTCCACTTCATTACAGTCTAAAGCCATATTCCCAACCATAGCAACTTTAAGATAAGTAGACTTCCACTCCCAGAATTTCCCAGCCACAATGGACTTCCACTCTCAGAATTCCTCAGTCTGCCATTTTGGCTGGGGAATTCTGGGAACTGAAGTCCACATATCTTAAAGTTGCCAAGGTTAAACAACTTGGGTCTAATGTCTCAATAGCAGAGTCACTGCTGATGTTACCTACTTGGGCAGGGGTCTTCAAACTTGGCCCTTTTACGGCTTGTGGACTTCAACTCCCAGAACTCCTCAGCTGAGGAATTCCGGGAGTTGAACTCCACAAGTCTTAAAAAGGCCAAGTTTGAAGACCCCTGTACTTGGATAATGAAACATCTGCAAGCAAAACAAACAAACAAAAAAAAAAACAGGCTCAGAGAGCACCAAGGACTCCACAGACCAATGTCTCCATGATTTTGCCTTGTTGGATCATTTTTGAAACATTGCTCCCTCTGCTACATTAGGGAGAGGGTGAGCTAGTGGTATCCATCAAATAAAACTGCTGCAGATATGACAATCAACATGCTTGCTGAGGACTTCACACTCATAAACCATAAGAAACCATCAGAAGCACACCAAGAAAGAAATGAAAGTGCTCCCAAAAGGATAACTACATCCAAACAAGTTCCTTTTAAAATCTAGTCTGAAGCTGATTTGAGTGCATGCGTTCTCTTCCTTCTTCGAAATACGCAATTTAGAATAGCCAGCAAAAAAAAAGGTCTCGTGTTTTTCTTCTTAAATGTATCAATACACATTCTTCCGTGAAATCTCGAACAGCTATTTGATTATAGTCAAGTCACTTTGAATTATACCAAAGGCACATTACAATTTTATAGGAAGGAGTTATCGCTCAGCGCATCTGCTTCCCATCTAACATGCCTGCAACTCCTGACAACAAAGCCAAAGAAGAAATAAAGACCATAGCTACAACTTGCAGTTTGGCATAATTTAGGAAATTGTGTCTCGTGTAGGGTTTGGGGTGTGTGTGTGTGACCGTCTGTGTTTATCCTCATAAAAGTTATTTCATAACCGTAGGATAAAACCTTAGGCTTCATGTCTTCTCAAGAAAACCTGAAATTGCTCTTGCATCAAATGGCATTAAATGGTGGGTTGATAGGAAAGTAACATCCATGTTACTAACTTAACAACTGCAGGGATTCACTTAACAACTGAGGCGAGAAAGGTCATAAAATGGGGAAAAATCCACTTAACAAATGTTTCATTTAGCAACAGGACTACCTTTAGGTAAATGAAACATTTGTTAAGTGGATTTTTCCCCATTTTATGACTTTTCTCGCCTCAGTTGTTAAGTGAATCCCTGCAGTTGTTAAGTTAGTAACACGGATGTTAAGCGAATTTGGCTTTCCCCGTTGACTTTGCTGGTCCGAAGGTCGCCGAAGGGAATTGCGTCACCTCGGGATTCTGTGATCGTCGTAATGTGAGTCAGTTTTCAGGCTTCCAAATTTTGATCATGTGACCGTGGGGATGCTGCAATGGTTGTAAGTGTGAAAAACGGTCATAAGTCATTTTTTTTCAGTGCCGCTGTAACTTTGAGTGATCACTAACTGAACTAGTGTTAAGTCGAGGCCTACCTTTTTTTTTTTTTTGTTACTGAAGAAGCCTGCTTTTGTCAACAACTTTGCTTTAGGTGTTTGTTTGGTGGAGGGGCTCAATTTGAAAGGGGAATAATGAATTCCAATTTAGAAATTTAGCCTTGAATACAGGCCATTCATTTGGCAGTTATAAGTTCCTAATTTTGGAAACAATTCTTCAGTGAAGATAAGGAGATGGAGACCATGGTTTGGGACCATTTCACTGATGACCTTCCCAGTTCATACTTCCTAAACTATTACATGCTCGCTTTTCTGAATAAATCTTTACCATGGACTTTGACCAACCCAAGGACAAACCATGTTAGGGAACAATACATACAATGCAAACTTGCATTCAACTGCCAGATTGACAAGAGCTGATATATCACACTGCAAATCAATCCATGCAATTTAGCCAGCTATCACCAACTGATTTATTGATTTATTGAATGTATCAGATGATAACTCAATGCAGCGGCCATTAAAATATGCACATTTCCCCACGGTACAGTATGCAAATTTAAAAGGTACTGCCAAATGGGGAAATCAGGAGATTCAAGCAGTTCAAAGGACTATAAAGATTTATTGCAAGCTTAAGCTCTCTAGAGCATGGGTGTCAAACTTGCCATGTCACATGATGTGTTGCGACGTATCACGACTTTTTTCACATTGCCGGAACTGAGGTGGTGCAGCCTCTGCATGATGCAATCGGCCCAGTTTGACACCCCTGCTCTAGAAGAATCTGGCTGTTAAAGGAAATGAGCGGGAGATAAGAGGGACATTCAAGGTGGGCTGGACTTTGATCTCCTGCAGGGGGCACGCAGCGACTCGTGGCTTATGAGATGTTTGACCCCCCCTCCCTCGGGATCAGCCTGGTCATCTCTTACAGGTACGTGGTATATTTTAAAAATGTATTTTTAAAAGTTTATCGGACAAACATACATTAAGAAACTAAAAACAGATATATTAAAATGGATATATCGATGCGCATAAACATTTTTGGGCTATTTTTTAAAAGAACATCCAAACAAGGAACTAGTTCTAGAATGAAACTAGAATCAGTTCTGGAACAAAAGAGGTACTAAACTAAATCAAATGTGATGCATTCCCCCCCCCCCCATTAACTATAAGGGCCTCAGTGTGTTTTTGATGACTTCTAACAATAAGAATCTGTTCCTTCTTTTTCTTGTATCAATATGTAGAAGCGAAGTGAAATATGAGTGTTTCTCCATGAAGACTGACCTTGTTTGCATGTAGCTGTCATAATACACGGGGAAAGATAGAGCAAGATGTTACAACTGTTTACATTCTAGCTCCACGGAGGGCAAAAGTCCAGCTGATATTTATCCTATTATATTGCTTTCTTGCTCCGAGGGCTCTGCGGGCTGACAAACCCAGTTTATTAAAAGCAAGCTATGTAACCATGGGAGGTTGGATTATTAAACCCACATGATGGCATAGGACAAACGATCCAAGCTTTTCACAAAATTACTGGGAGGAGGCAGATTGGTTAAGAGGCAGACCTATTGATTCTGTAAATATGGATATACAACGATAAACTGACCTTTTTTCCATTTTTGTTTAAGTCAACTAAGCTGAGCAGAAAGATGTGGTCCTTAGCACCGAGCAGGAGATGACCTCTTTCTTCGTCAAGGAGCAGGGTCCGAAAATCCAGTCCCTCCACTGAGCCCAGGAATGGAACGCAGCTGTTCGAAAGCAGCAAGTCTGTGAGAGAATGAACAAAATCCTTGGAACCAAGAACGTGTAAACACTGCTCGTTGGTGTCTTCTGTAAATATATGCACCCAGCAGGACCTTCGTTGGTTAGGATAACAAAGTGGAGTTAGCAAAAATCTCTTGCCGGAGAACACAAGGCAGAGGAAGGTTAGCACGGTATCTTTTTCTCATAAGCCCACATTTATCAAAACTGAGATTAGGTCATCTCTATAAGCATTTGAATTTCTACCTTGATATATATATATATATATATATATATATATATATATATATATATATATATATATATATATATATATCAAGGTAGATAGGGCCATTAATCAAGAAGGATGGCCCTATCACATGGGCAATGAGTAAGCAGTTAGACCAGCAAGGTGTATAAAAAGAATTTCCCCACTCCCTGAGCTTCACTCTGAGGATGCTGGCAGGGGACCAGCGAAAGCTAAGTTGTTTCTTTTAACATTGTAAATAGTTGGTTTTATTGTTTTTAAATATCTTTTTAGTAATAAACAACTGGTTTATACCTCTCCCGGAGATCGAAGGTTGTGTTATTGAACAAATATGCCCGGGATTCACATTTTTGCAGCTATCAAGGATATATATATCCTAGCCAAGCCCCTACCCAATCAGAACACACCTCCACCCAATCAGAACACAGCCAAGCTCCCACCCAATCAGTTCATACCCCCACTGGCAGTTAAAAGGAAGAAACAGCTAAGACCACACATTGCTCCTCGAAGCACGAAGCTGAAAACACCAGCCTGAAGATGACGAATGGGACTTCGTCGAAACATCACCAAGACACTTCCAATTTTACGCGGGAGAAAACCCGAATAACCAAGAATAAATAATAAATATAAAATATAATATATATATAATATATATATATATATATATATATATGTAGGTCTTTGGTTGTTCGGGTTTTCTCCCGCGTAAAATTGGAAGTGTCTTGGCAACGTTTCGACGAAGTCCCATTCGTCATCTTCAGGCCTCAGAAAACATATATATATGTGTATATATATATGTATATATATATTCAAATTTCTTTTTTTGTTGACAAATAGTTAAAGAGTTAAATGGGAGACTAGAATAGCTATTTCAAGCTTTTTAGCTCTCATCAGCTAGCCATACCCTTTATGGGATTCGAACCTGCATACTGGGCAGTTTTATTAACGTCCAGGCCACCGGCTCTCCTCCCCTCTTTTGTCAGTCCAGCCAAGGGAATATATAGAAAGTTTTTTTTCTGGTCAGACCGGTCTAGTTGATGCACCTTCGGTTTGTTTGTTTTTTTGACTGCTATATTGCAGTTCTACTATTATGATCACTTTTACCTTGCAGCCCCAAACTAGGAGCGTTAAGCAGGCTCAAGCTGTTACTGCAATACACTACATATTCGAATTTCTTTTTTTGTTGACAAAGAGTTAAAGAGTTAAATGGGAGACTAGAATAGCTATTTCAAGCTTTTTAGCTCTCATCAGCTAGCCATACCGTTTATGGAATTTGAACCAAAAAAAAAAAAAAATGAAGTCCAGAAGAAGATCTGAAAAACAAATCTTAGAAGAAATGGTTTAAAGAATGGGCAATGCAGAAGAGAACAGAGGAGATCAAAAGGAGGAAGAAGGCACTTGTTCTCTGTTGGTCCTGCAGGCAGGACCAGAAACAGTGGAAAGCTGAATCAGATATTAGCAGGAAGAATGTCCTGCTAATAAGAGATGTCAACTAATAGAGGAAGTTGCCTTGGAAAATGGGATAATTCTTTTCACCGGAGCTCTTCAAATTCAGCCAAATGCTTTAGAGATCCTATATTTCAGTTTGGCCAGAGCTTCATATCTGATTCCAAAGCATCATTCTACGGATTCCCTGTGACCCCAGAAAGACACCAGAGTTTTAAGGGAAGAGCTAAATCTGTGCCTCCTTTTGGTCCATTTCAGAATCACATGTGAAGCCCTCCAACTTAACAGCCCTCTCTAGACAGAGAGCAGTGGCTTTGCCATATTTATTTGGCCTTCCTGTTTTCACTACAATTACAATAATGAACCCTTTTGACTGAACCGATTCCAAGGGCTTTAGACTTCTCCAAAGAGAGAAAATTATGCAGTGTACTATATAAGGAGTTGCCTGACATTTTGGGAAGCCATACGCATTGAATAAATAAATACATTTCCTTGAAATACCTCCTTCTCTGTCATAGGACCGGCTTAGCCATCAATGTCATGATCAGAAAAGGCAGCCTGAGGTCTTCGGGCACAAAACAGCCCCATTACAACTTTGAAGACATAATTGTACATACTATTTTCAAATTAAGTTTGACAGATGGCACAGTTGCATAAATAGGCCTTTTAAAAATATTGTGGCTATTATAATTACTATTACTGAGCTGATGAAATGCTCTTTGATGCCTTCCAATTATTGGTAACAGAACAATAAGCCCGCTGGGTTCATAGAATGTATCCAGTCCAAATAATTGGCTTATAAACATTGTAAGTGAAAATGTGTCCAATCTAAAGCAGTTGTCATTACAAAGACAATCTTGGGCTGTGGATTTGCGCAGGTTCCCTTGTTATAACCCAGCTTATCTTACGTCTTCTACTGCCAAGCAAAGCAAAGTCATCTTGTTACTCAAGCAGTTAAAAATGTACTTTTTTTTTTAAAAGAAAATTGTCTACATGCTTAGCTGTTTATCTGATGCATGGAAAAGACCTATGTTTCACCTAATCTGAAAATAAAACTGAAGAACGAAATTAACTGTTGGTACTTCCCTATTTACACCAATTTATTAATGTCATCAGCACTAAGCATTGTGAGAAGAAAGATAGTTTAGACAACGTTAGGTATCTTAAAGTGGTTTTGCAGAAAGCGTTACGTGTTAAAATAGTTTAGACAACGTTAGGTATCTTAAAGTGGTTTTGCAGAAAGCGTTACGTGTTAAACATGCGGCTGGGGAATTCTGAGAGATTTATTCATTCACTCATTCATTTATGAATGTATTTATTGAATTTATTTGCCATCCATCTTGTAGCAAATTACTTCAATGGAAGCAGAGATGAAGTCCACATCTTAAAACTGCTGAGATTGAGAAACACAAAGGTGAATCTGTCAAAAACCTGACAGTGAGAATAATTAATCAGTGGAACAGCTTCCCTCTAGAAGCTGTAGGTCAGTGATGGTGAAATCTTTAGAGACTGAGTGCCCAAACTGCAACCCAAAACCCACTTATGCATCATCAAGTGTCAGGTGGGTGTGGCCCATTGGGTGGGCATGGCCAATTGGGTGGGCGTGGCTGTGGTGGTAACAGCAGACTGGTTGGGACTAAAAAGTTCAATCAATCGATTCCAACTTTGCAAGATCTTTTTTTTCCCGCGAGAAGTTGAAATTGACTGAACCTTTTTTTTTTTTTTTGCACACGGCAGTGGAGGCCTAAAGCAAAAAGATTTTATAAAACCCAGCTGAAGGCCTAGGACTGGGGCGACAGCACGCATGCCCACAGAGAGGGCTCTGAGTGCCGCCTCTGGCATCCGTGCCCTAGGTTCACCATCACTGCTGTAGGTGCTCCAACACTGGAAGAGATTGGACAGCTATTTTTTCTGGAATGATACACAGGGTCTCCTGCATGAGTGGAGGGTTGGATTAGAAGACCTTCCAAGGTCGCTTCCAACTCTGGTATTCTGCTGCGACTGTTCCTCTGGTGTTTCAAAGTGGTCCTCTGTCCCTCTGGGGCACATGCCAGAAACCACGTGCCTGCATGAACCCTGACTTGCACAGTATGTAGCACATTGCATCTGACACTTAGCACCTAGTGCCAAGGCTGACTGTGTGGCCATCAATACTTGGAAGAAAGCTTTGCTTTGTGTGAATCTTCTGTATAGCAAGGACAGAAGAGTTTATTGAAGTTTATTGAGTTTATTATTGAAGGACGAGTTCATTCCAAAACACAACAGCCCCTTTCAGAGGCGTGTGCCAAGAAACAGAAAGGTCACTTGGAACATGCCAGTTGTGTCTCTTCATACACTCTGAGTGTCCCAAGGAGAGAAGAGAGTGCACAACCCCAGAGACAAACACCACCACTTGACTTCCGACAGCACAAAAGAACAAATAAAGCAGAAAAGAGCTAAACACCACCACATTTGGTAAACGCTGTCCTATCCAGGCCCTGGCCTTAAGCGGGAAGCCATTCAGGGATCCAATTCAGTTCTTGTTATCTCTCTTAACTGGAAATGAAACAAACGAGTTTTAATTCATAGCAGTCACTTCAATCTCTCTTCCCCATCTTTTACAACTCGGTTAGCTTTCCAGCTTCATGGCTAAAGCAATCAACACACTGAGCCCTTGGGAAAAATAGCCAAAGGCTAATTTGAATGGAAGCTGTGGGGCTCTGCTATAAAAGAAGAAATAAAATCTTTTATGCCCCTGACAAATTTCATTTCATGCTGCCTGTTGGGAACATCCTAAATGGCTTCTGAGTTCCTTACAGTGCAAACAGTCAATCTTAGAAATTACCGTAATGGATGATTTGCCCCATATGCCTCCATAACTCATATTCTCGTTCTCATTCACCTTCTCTCATACACTTTTTTTTTTAAAAAAAAGGTTTTTTTACAAACTGAAAATAAACAGATAAACCTGAAAAACGGAAAAACAATTCTGCTACAATTCATCAGCTGTGAGGAAAAAAAAAAAGGCAGAGATGCTTAAAAGATGCTATGAGTCAGGATAATTTAATTGAAAGCTGGGCTCTTATGTAATTCTATGAATCAATCCAGAAAGGAAGGAGAATACCTTACACCAGTGGTTCTCAACCTTTTTAATGCCGCGACCCCTAACCGGTCGTAAGTCAAGGACTACTCAATCGGTCGTAAGTCGAGGACTACTCAACTGGTGCAGCACCATTTGCAGAATGTACTTTTGGCGGGCTCAGCAGGGCAGAGACAGCCTGGACAATTCCTATTGGTTTTTGAAAGCCAATAGAATTAGACTCTATTCAAGAGAGTTTACTCTATTGGCTTTCAAAAGCCAATAGAATAAAAGGGAGTAGCACAACTAAGGAAAAGGGGGAAAAAATGGCGGACTGCGTTGTTTGGCGACCCCCGTGAAATGGTCGTTCGACCCCAAATGGGGTCCCGACGTACAGGTTGAGAACCACTGCCTTACACTAAGCAGAAGTTTATCTGGAGGGAAATAGTAGAAACAGACCATGATGGAGATAAGCTAACATTTCAATGTGAGTGCACATTTATCTCCCAGTCTGAAAGGTGCACTTGAATCCTGATAGCATCCAAGAGCCACACTTCAGAAACAAAATTAAAAACTAAGCTTGATTTAATTTAATGTTGTCAGGCCAAGAAGGTGGACCAGGCCAAGAAACAGACGCCATGTAGGCCTAAAACTACTTTTACGAGAACACTACATTAACAGAATCTTACAAGTTTCCATTTGCCTCTCTTCTCCCTTTTCATCTTCTTGAGAACTGGAGAGGGGAAGTTGCCTGTCTTGAGACATTGTCGTACATTTCTCTCTTTGTCTGGGCTTAAGTCACGTTTATCTCTTTGTTGCCTTGGTAACAGGTCTTCCTCGTCTCCATTCTCTACTACCAAAACTCTTCAGCTCATTGACCCCTTCATGAAGTTTCAGATTGTTCATTGACTCTCCTCCAACATTTATTACATGAAAACTTAGTAATTACTAATCTGCTATGAATAAGGATAATAAAAAACCAATAATGGATAATCCCATCAACCCTGAGGGTCAATGTATTGACCACTTTAGACAGCCCTGCGCTATTCTTTCTACAAATCTATGTTTAAATAGAGGGATTTTGATCACAACCCATATATTTAATCATTTCCCTATTCTCTCATGTTAAATAGTAAATTTGGTTGCAATTTGTAAGATACTCTGGGGCAGGGCTTTTCAACCTTTTCACCCGTTGTACCACTTTTAGGATATGGCAACATCCGAGTACCACCAGTCACCTAACAAGGTGTCAAAAAAAAAAAAAAGGAAAAAAGTGATAAAGTACAGGTAGTCCTTGACTTACAACAGTTTGCTTAGTGACTGTTTGAAGTTACAATAGCACTGAAAAAAGTGCCCCCCCCCAAGCCACAGCCGACAACTGCCTGCCCACCCGGCAGCGCTCTTCCTCCTGTCTGAGGTTTTCATTGTTGTGAGCATTTCTGTTGAGGATTGGCAGCGGGGATGGGGTGGGAAGTGTTTGGTTTTTATTCCCCCTCGTCTGCTGGGTGGTTGCAGCAGGTTTTGGTCACTTCACATGACCCTGGGATACTGTGACCGTCAAAAATATGAATCAGTTGCCAAGCATCTGAATATAAATCACAAGACCCTGGAGATGCTGCAACATTCCAGCTAAACAGTGCTTCTTCTGGGCTCAGCAGAAGTGCTAGGATCAGCACCGAGCTCCAGCTGGAGCGTGGCACTGATCCTGGCACTTCTGCTGAGCCCTGACAGCCCTGCAGCTCCAGCCATCTCTCGCTCAGGCTTGTGCGGTGCTGCCACCGGTTCAGCTCATTCCCCTCCCCTGCTACCACTTTTCTAGGATGGTCGCGTATCACCTGCCAGGTGCCAATCTACCACAGGTGGTACCTGTACCACTGGTTGAAAAGCCCTGCTCTGGGGTGTGAGGGAGTTAAGTCGTGCACACCTGTCCTAAATTCAGGACAAGAAAAGCCAAGCTGAAGCAAAGGAGATGCAGAAGCCAAGTGGCACCAGGTCCAAATGAGGTCTGAAGAAGACGTTGGAGACCAAACAATGTTCTCATCAGAAGAACTCTGTGCAACCTTCCAGACTAAAAGATTCAGAGAACCCAGGAGGGCTCCCATTTAATGGATTTATTCTCAGTCCCTTTTTTATCTTCCAACTCATTCACATTTCCCCTTCTGGCAGCCTTTGAAAAGGAACTCTACTGTTTCCAGCTACAGCACCATCTCTGGAAAAGAGGGCTGAATCCAACAAGTTGCAAGCAGGTTCTATGAGACCAACCTGGGCTTTGAGGCATGACTTTTGCCTTTCAACACACACCACCCTCCTGGCTGTATTAAATGTGTTCCTCCAATGGGATTCCAAGGTGGCATTTAGAAAGAGCCAAAGCTTCTCAGGCAAACAGAGCAAATAGGTAGGACTGAAGTACTGGCCCAATAGCTAGCTAGTAGTCCAGGGCAGAATATATTTTGCTGTTATTGGATTTTTGACTAATTGATTGGTTTGCCAAGTTGCCCCTGGACACTACCATCTAGTTACAGAATCTAACTTGTCATGTTATCATTATGTTTGTTATTTCTTGGTTCTCCCTTTCAGTAGGACAGGAAATTCTACGCATCATATCATATCATACAAGTTGCTTCCTGGTCGTCCTTGCCAAGATGTACAGGAAAGCAATGGGTCAAGTGTAGCAAGCATTCCTGGTGAAAGGAAGCAAAGACTCAGGGAGAAGAAGGACAGAAGAAACTCTTCTAGGTTCAAGCCAGCTGTTCCACTGTCTCCACCACCTCCGTTTCTTTCTCCATCCAAGCCGTGTCCTAGCTCATCCCTGGGTCTTAGCCAGGTCCACTGGAGAATTATGATGCCGTATCATATGGAGAAATATTTATTTCCCTTTCTCTCCCTCCTGCTTCCAATGGAGACCCTCTTGCAATTCCAAAAAAGCAAAACTCAGATAAGTTCATAACTAGTTACACTGTCACAAGGCTGACAAGGGTCAGTTCTCAAAGGTTATTCTTAGTTCAGCTGCCCTGATGTTACTGAGGGAAGGCCGGTCTGCAGGATAGTGGAAGGGATAATTAACAGAGAGGAAACACAGAAGTCAGTAGAAACATGACCATCCATATTTAGCATCTAAAATTGAGGGGAAAAACATCACAAAAACTATGTATTTATCCACTTAGGCTGAGTCTCTCTGCCATCACTTCTCCAAACTTGTAGCTGGTCTTTACTTCCAGCATCTGGCGCTGTGTTTGTGGAGACATGTTTCATTGAAATTTTTGACTTCCTTCAGAATAATTCAGATGTTTCAACCAGGAGGAAATGCCAACACTTCTTTGGCTAGGAAGACTGCAGATTCACCCCACCATGAAGACCAGTAATGGGTAACCATGTTGGTTGAAAACTGGAAAATGCTTTATTAATTCAGCCATGGATCTCACTGCAGAATTTCAGAAATGCATCAGGGCTGCATCTCATTCTCAAAAGAAAGCCACTATTTTAAAGTCTCTTTATTCAGTGCCAAAAGTATAAAGGGACTTAAATAATTTGTGATCCTTTCATGCCATCCACAAGGAGACATTTCATATCCTTTTATATCTTTGTGGCATTTATATTAAACCATCTTTATGCGACATTCCAAGTTATTGTCTTAGTAGTGTTGATTTTTAATGGCCTTTTATTGTGACACTATCAGTGAAGGACTCATAAACCAAGTTTCACAAATCTTCAATCCTGTTGCCAGATTAGGTTACTCAACCTAATCAAAACAAAAACCAAATGAAGATTTCTGTTGAAAAGTTTTGTTTGGCCAAGTAAATTCCATTTTCAGAAGGCCTGGTGACAACTGTGCTGCATGCTTTTATTTAATAAGATAAATTATCTCCTACAAATCTTGAAAAATACCATAGAAAAGTCGCTGCCAGAACACACAGCACAGATCCCAACCATACTGGATGTAATGGCACTTGTTCTATGCAATGTTTTGCTCAATGAAATGTTGGTTGTTAACCAGCATAAACTATAAAATAAACACGCGTAGAGCTATAAATAAATCTATTGGAAGATGTGGCGAGACCTGGCCGTTAGAACTGCCAAGATTTGAATATGACTGAATGGATTATTAGTATCAACAAATAAATCTGTAAGTCTAAAATTTGTAAGTTAATACAAATTGATTGAACTAACTTAATTTAAAATAACCTACCCTACCCAGATTCAGGACAAGGAACAATGGATAGATTATAATCAAGAATAGAAGCAACCTAGAATTAAGGAGAAATTTTCTGACAGTGAGAATAATTCATCAGTGGAACTGCTTCCCTCCAGAAGTTTTGGGTGCTCCAACACTGGAGGCTTTTAAAGAGAGACTGGACAGCCTTTTGTCTGAAATAGTATAGGGTTTTCTGCTTGAGCAGGGTGTTGGAGTAGAAATAATAACAATAATAATAACAATAATAATAATAGTAGTAGTAGTAGTAGTAGTAGTAGTAGTAGTAGTAGTAGTAGTAAAGTTGGAAGGGATCTTGGAGGTCATCTAGTCCAACCCCCTGCTCAGGCAGGAAACCCTATACCATTTCGGACAAATGGCTGGCCAGTCTCTTCTTAAAAACCTCCAGTGTTGGAGCATTCACGGTTTCTGGAGGCAGGTTGTTCCACTGATTAATTGTTCTAACTGTCAGGAAGTTTCTCCTTAGTTCTAGGTTGCTTCTCTCCTTGTTTAGTTTCCATCCGCTGCTTCTTGTCCTGCCTTTAGGCGTTTTGGAGAATAGCTTGACTCCCTCTTCTTTGTGGCAAACACACATTGCATTGAAAAGTCTAAGAAGAGTAAACAGAGGCTATAAAAAAAAACATGTACCTTTGTAAAACAGCTTAAGTCTTGGAACATTGTGCTTTGATGTCCCCTCAACTGAGGAGAGCAGAATCCCCCAAAATAAAAGTAGACATATAAGTTGTGGCTTGGAAACACTCGCCCTGTTCATGCCTTCACAATTTTGCCTTCTGTTCATATTGCAGAAAACTTGTCTTTTCTTAGTTAATCCAATGAGATCTGTAATAAAAGAAACAAAAGAGCATCTTTAGCAAACAGAGCTTGGAAAAACACTTCAGCTAAACTGTAAATTGTTCAACAGCTACCCATTATATTTTAAAAGCTCAGACTATTTATGATGACCAGTATACCCATCCCTCACCAAGGATAAATGAATAAAAACAGTGCTTTGAGATAAATTGATCATATTTGTACCAGTTGTTGCCACATGTTCGCAGACCCTGAAAAAGCAACTTACAACCTAGTTCTGAAGTTCAGACAGCTGGAGTGTTCATCTTCTCAGGATGCACTAAGCCCCAAAATTAAGTTCAATTCCAAATTGGAAAATTCATAAAATATATTTGTTTCCATTTGACTGATCTGGAACTACACAGTTCAACTATACTGAAGAAATCGGGGTCTTATGTTTTATGATTAAAATTAGTTGTTGCTGGTATGTTGTATGTTGTTTGCCAAAACGTAATGTAAATTTGTAAATGCTACAAGTTCTTATAAAATATAAAGGACTGCTAATTTTTCACAAAAGAAGAGATGGTGAGGATGTGTTAAATGCCTTTAAATAAGTGTGTGTGTGTGTGTGTGTTTGTATATATCCTCTGAAGAAGTATATATTCTTCTTCGGAGGATATAAAATTCGGCAAATACTAAATTAAGAATCAAATCTTTAAATTTTGGAAAATATTTTTGCTTCCTTGCATTGTTGCAGTTATTTTGGGGTGGTAATTTCTGTGAAAAAGCTGTGCCTGTTGAGGTATATCTGGGCAAGAAACGTGTCACGTTTCAGAAGAACAGATACACAGATTAGGGAATTGTGAAAAATGGAAAACAGCTTAAGGAGTTTTGATTATTTTCTGCTCCATTAGCGTGGAAGTCAGAGAAAGTGAGATATGAGAGGGACTGATGATGGATATAGAGAGGTGAAGGACCCGAACAGCTGCTATTTTCAAAGCAAGCTCCCAATGTGACATCCTGCAGGCTTCATCAGAAATTCTTTTTTTCAGATTCATGCTTCTTGGAAGAAGAACTCATAAAGAGCTTTGAACCCTGGAACAATCCTTCTCTCTAGATATTGTTTAGCAATGTTCATGAACCCAAAAGAATTGAACAGGATGGGTTTGTGCACCCAGAAACCTCCCTACTCTTTATCTAATTTCCATAAGTTGGCATCTATGCCTCCCAGGATGACAGTTTTACACACCATCTGGGATTCTCATAAAATAAGATCTCAAATCTTCAGAAGAGCATTCACTTTCAGATACATTAAAGCAGTGGTTCTCAACCTTTTTAATGCCACGACCCCCAACCAGTCGTAAGTCGAGGACTACTCAACCGGTCGTAAGTCGAGGACTACTCAACTGGTGCAGCACCGTTTGCAGAATGGGACTTTTGGCGGGCTCAGCAGGGCAGAGACAGCCTGGACAATTCCTATTGGCTTTTGAAAGCCAATAGAATTAGACTCTATTCAAGAGAGTCTATTCTATTGGCTTTCAAAAGCCAATAGAATAAAAGGGAGTAGCACAGCTAAGGAAAAGGGGGGGGAAATGGCGGACTGCGTTGTTTGGCGACCCCCGTGAAATGGTTGTTCGACCCCAAATGGGGTCCCGACCCACAGGTTGAGAACCACTGCATTAAAATACCTTTTCAGACCTCCTGCATGAGTCCATGGAGGTTGGGGACCGAAGGCCATGATCGGCACCTCACTCCATCTTCAATTAGATAAACACTCAAAGGGGATTTTGGTGTGTGTGTGTGTGTGTATGTGTGTGTGTGTGTGTGAAGAGTGCTTCTGGTCAGACTTGACTCCTAGTGACACACCACACAGCATGAGATTTCAGTATTTCCCCACAAGACTTTGTGGAGAATTCAGGTGGCCATACCCAAATTTCAGAAGATTTCAAGAATCTCACATGACAGTTCATGACTTCTCATCTATGAGAAAAACCTGAAGTGACACTTATTGGCACAGAGAGAGGAAAAACTGAACCAAAAGAACAGACTCTATTGAATCCACATAGGACACACTGAATCTGGCTACAAAATGAACTTGGGCTTACTGGAGAGATGTGTATTTTCTGCATATTTCCTTTTGTCTATTTATTCCAAAACATCACTCAGATGGAACACAACACAAAGGGTCCCTTTATACCTACAGCAGCTGGACAGCCAGCCAAGGCCAGCTGATATGTTCGGTTCATTCATTCAGGCCTGGCTGTTCTCAGGACAGGCGAAGATCAAATTTTATACCACGTCTTCCTCCAGAAGCAGAAATAAGCTCTTAAGCAGGTAGCCAGGTAGCCAATAGCATATTTTCTTCTTACTGACAGGGAATAATCAAATTATATTAATATTCTATGGTCTCCTCTCCAATTAAATTTTAAAAAGTGTGTGTGTGTGTGTGTGTGTGTGTGTGTGTGTGTGTGCAGGTGTATCACAAGGTGATACCATGTGTGTCCAATCACACTTGGCCAATAAAGAATTCTCTTCTCTTCTCTTCTCTACTTCCTATTTCTACTCTGTTCTGCTCTGCTCTGCTCTGCTCTACTCTACTCTACTCTACTCTACTCTACTCTATTCCTATTCTACTCTACTCTACTCCACTCTACTCTACTCTATTCCTATTCTACTCTATTCCTATTCTATCTATTTCTATTCTATTTGTATTCTATTTCTACTCTACTCTACTCTACTCTACTCTACTCTACTGTACTCTACTCTACTCTACTCTACTCTACTCTATTCTACTCACATATCTATGGGCATGGTTGTGGCCACATTTTTGTAACAGCACCACATTTCATGAGATTTCAGTATTCTCCCATAAGACGTTGTGAGACTTTAGGCAGCTAACCCCAAATTTCATAAGATTTCAGAAATCTCACATGACTAGTTCTCACCCATGCTTACTGAAATCTGGTGAGATTTGACAATATTCAATCTTTTTGTGTATTTAAAAAATTGCACCATGTTGCACAAGAGCTCACTGTTTTTTCAAGGAATCTGCCTTACAAAATGCCCTTTCCCTACACAACCATGACTGCAATCAACCATGGTTACTTTGAAAAAATTCAACACTGTCTAGGACAGGGGCAGGCAACCTTGGCTCTTTTATGACTCGTGACTTCGACTCCCAGAATTCCTGATTCAGCCATGCTGAGGGGAAAGGGAGAGGTTTCCAAGCGGAGCCATGCTGGCTCAGGAATTCTGGGAGTTGAAGTCCACGAGTCATAAAAGAGCTAAGGTTGCCTACCCCTGAGCTAGGAATAGTGGAGAATGGAAGTCCAATACATCTGGATGGTACTTGGTTGGGGAAAAAAATCAGATTCTCTCACAGGCCAGTTCACTTTGAAAAGCTTTAAGGTATGTTAACTTCATCTCCCAGAATTCCCCAGCCACCTGCTTAACATTTAACACTATTTTTTCTTAATTTCTCCCTCTTTTTGATATCCGTTTTTCTCTGTGATTGGTAGAGATGCTATTAAAGCCTGCATGGATACATTTCCCTCCAAGAAGTCCTTTCTTTGTTACTGGTCTTCAACCATGTTGCAAGCAGCCACATCTTCTCTTTTAAAAAGGGATTGGACAACCATTTGTCTGAGATGGTATAGGGCAGTGGTGGCGAACCTATGGCACGCATGCCAGAGGCGGCACTCGGAGCCCTCTCTGTGGGCACACATGCCATTGCCCCAGCCTCACTTTCCTCCATGACCCCCTCCTCACTAGCAGCCCCCCTGGAGGAGAGTCGCCCCTGAGCATGGCCCACATGGAGCAGCGCAGGCAAGGACATGGCAGCCAGGCAGCGTAGACAAGACTCTGCCCTCATGGCCCATCCCACACAATTGATGCTGCGGGGCACAGGCACAGGCGTGGCCACCATGGCGCTGCTGGGCTGCCTGGGCAATCTGTGGCAGGTCCTGGAGGTGGTGAGTGGCCCTGTGGGCAGGCAGGGTGGGGGATGGGGGGGGGCGGAGGAGGCTGGGGCAGGGGATGGAGCTGGGGCGGGGCTAGTTTTTAGACACTCAGTCTCTAAGACGTTCATCATCACTGGTATAGGACTTCTTGCCTGACCAGAGGGTTGGACTAGAAGACCTCCAAGGTCCCTTCCAACTCTTGTCATTCTGTTATTACTTTTTGCAAATCCACTTTAAGATACATAAAGGAAGGAGGTATCTTCCCTTCATTGATTGCATAATGGAAAAAAAGGGGTGGGGTAAAAATCTCAGAAATAAAATACCTAAAGTAAAGATTGTTGAGATGTTCTTCTGAAAACTTTTTCAATTGATTAAGTTGATGGAGCTAGTTTCCACACAGAAAAACAGCTGTGAGTATAATGTCCCCCTCTTACTATATCCTTGCCAAGTCAGGTTATTTACCTATATTGCCAAAAGTGTTTTCTGTTTTCCCTTATAATTGATCACCAAAGGCTGAAAACCTAAGCAACCAGGCGCAGTCAGACTAATTTCAGAGTTCAGCCAGGACTCTGACTCAACAAGGGCCCGGCTGCCCTTCCCTGGAGGGCCTCATTAGGATGGAATTTATGATTTTCCGGGCGTGGCTCTTGAGCCTCTGCTCAAAAACCTGGACCCTTTAAACCGGAGACCTCAACCCCAAATATTTGATGTACTCCTGGAATTCTCATTAAGGTAAACTTTGCAATTCAAATTTTCGAATGTTTGGAATGTTTGCCCTACTCTTCCCCTCCCTTCCTCAATTTGCAAATATCTGGAATTTGAGCATTTAACAGCATCACCCGTTGGTCTTGACAACTCTCTGAAAAGGAAGCCCTGCACTTATTTAACAGTGGCCAGATGTCCTGAATTACTTGGCCTCCGCCTTAAATAGGTCTGTTTTGGATCGCAGATTTAGAGTAAACTGGCCCCGCACATTTTCTGGGACTTACATTTACTTGAATTGAAGAGGGCTTCCTTTCTGATACAATTTACAATTATAAGAGAAGTCATTTTCTTTAAAGAAATGGTTACGACACAATTTCAGAAAAAAAA